GGGCAGGACCTGGACCGCAGGCTCCCCCCGAGCCTCAGCCCTGCACCTGGGAGGGCTGGTGGCCATAAAACAAACCAAGTGCTGGGTGTTCTTTTGCTGCTGAGCCCTGGGATTCTTATCTGGGGCAAAACCAGGGAGCTGCAGCCCATTGGCAGCAAACATTTGGGAATAAAGAGTGTTTCTGCTGCTGGGATGAGACACGGGTGTTGTGTAAGACATTAAAATCTCTTCCTGCCTGTTTTTACCGTGTTTCCTCACCCAGACGGAGTGGAAATGTAGCAATAGTGGTGACTCTCTGCTCACAGGACTCGGTGTGAGGCCCTTGGTTTCCTGCAGAGCTGGAGCCCGGCCGTGGCCGTTGTTTTCCCTGAGATCTGCCTGGAAATGGCGCAAACCCGCAGAGGGCGGTGGAGCCGAGAAAATCGCTGCCTGCACGTTCCAGTGCTGGGCTGGCAGGAGTCAGCAATGCTGCCATGTGGTCTGGATGTGGCTCCAGGTGTTTCAAATGTGGTGGAATACCTGCATTCCTAGGGAAAGAGAGGAGCAGCGTGGGTGTACAGCAAAGAGAAACGAAGTGAGGAGAGCGGGGCTGGGGTGAGAGGGTGTTTTCCCAGCTGCCAGCAGCAGGGAAGGGAGCACAGCCCATCGTGGGATGCTGTTAGAAGTGGTTTAACCACCCCAAAGGGAAATATTTTTGGCTCTCTGGGGCTTACTCACAGGGAGGGACCAAGCGGGTCATGTGTTGGGGACAGCCCCAGGATCAAGGCTCCCTGGGAGCCGGCAGTGGGATTTTGCCTCCCTGTGAGGCTGTCGGGTGTAGAGAGAGGGAGGGGGCAGGAGGTGAATCATCCCACTCACGTGCCAGGGCCTGGCATGGGCTTGCCTGGTCCTGGGTGGTATTTGATCTATTTTGTGTTCAGCTGTACGCTGGAGGGCCAAGACTTTTGCTGAGGGCTGAGCCCGGGCAGGAGGAGGGATGGGGAGAGCTCCAAGCAGGACTCTCTTTTTTTTTTTTTTTAATTTTGTCAGGAGGGTGTTGGAAGGAAATCAGTGGGGGAAAAGCAGAGAAGCCCAAAGAGGAAGGCTCTGCTGCACCATGCTGGGTGAAAGCAGGAGCCTGGAGTGGGATGGAGGTTCCAGAATGACCTGGAAATGGCGGCTCTTCATAGGTTTGGTGGGGCTGAGACAGCATGCAAGGTTGTGTTCAGTCTCTCACAACCACCTGAACTGCTCTTTCCCTTCCCAGTTTGTCCCTTCCAGGTTAGGATCTAACCTCTGACACATCACGACAGTGCTGAGGTCACCCACTGGGACCACCAGCTTTTAGGGCCAAAAGCTCCCCTGAACAAGCCACACGTTCCTGGAGGGAGGAGGACGGGGAGTGGGAGGTGGGGAGCAGGTTTCTAAATCCCAGTTTGGAGCTGCTCATGCCCATCCCTGGGGTGGGTTTCACTCAGAGCCAAGCAGGGACAAGGCTGTGTGTCCTCACTCACTCTCAGGACCATGGCTTTGTGCTTTTATGTTTTCCTCTTCACAAGGATTCCTGCAGGAAAACAGCCATTTTCCAGTGATACCTCACTCCTGTATTGTCCTAAGTTCACCAACAGCTCCAGTGTTCCTACTACACTTCGTGCTGCGAGGTTGTGTCTCTGCTGTGGCAGGTACACGAGGGACTGGTGGGACTGGGAAAGGGACTGGTGGGACTGGGAAAAGGGCTGGTGGTGCTCCAAAACAGGAGCTCAGCACTGCAGACTCCAGCTGCCCACGGTGACACACCAGTTCCCAGGTGCTGATAAAGCTAGCAGGAAAAAGAGAAGGAAAAACGAAATGGAGAGACAGGAGGAAGGGTGTGAATCCAGCTGGCACTCACTCTGGCTCACCAAATCTGCAGGCTTTGTTGGCCAAGTCATCCTATGTGGGGTAGAAGAGAGACATGTCTGCCTTTTCTGCTCAGGGAAAAATTAAAAAGAAGGGAAAAATATGGTTGTGGAGAGACACTGACTCTGGAAGAGCTTTAAGGCAGAGCTGGGAGCCTGGCTCCTTCACATGACCAGCAGGTTTTTGGAGCTTCAGCTGATAATACAGTGAAAATGCAATTTTCCCCCTTCTAAGCAGGCAAAAAGTGTTCCATCCAAAGATCCTGGAGCTGAGGCTCTTTCACAGCTGTGTTTACAGGCAGCTATTTCTGCAGAACAGAGGGAGCCGGAGATGCCAATTTGCTTTTGGGATGAATTTCCTTCCGCATGAAGAGCTGTACCCAGAGAGGGGAGGTGGTCGATGGAACAGAACCAGCCCCCCCAGACCACACAGATTTCACAGAATATTCTGGGTTGTGAGGGACCCACAGGGATCATTGAGTCCAGCTTTCAAGCAAATAGCCCATACAGGGACACACAGCTCTACTTGCACCCTCAAAATAATCACAGTCTTTAAGAGCTGTGGATGGAGAATTGTCCTCCCAGCAGCAGAGGTGGAGATCTATCAGCCCTTGGGCAAATCCCATACAATGAGGGAAGTTCCTCCTTTGTTATCTCAATTTTTGGGAGTGGAGGAGTACTTGGCCTTTCTTTGAAGTCATTCCTCTGTTCTCCAGTTTTCCTGCTGGGGAATCAGCTGAACTGGCTGAAGGCTGCAGAGGAAAACCGGCTCAGGAAAAAACACCCAGAGCCCCCTCTAAATATCTGTTCCTGGGTTCGGGTGGAAATATTCCCCATTTGGGACTTGTTTACAGGCTGGCAGGGCTTGGATAGGCTTCTTCCCCTCAAAGAAAGCTCATTGTTTCCTATTTTCCCCTATTTCCCACAGGCAGTGTGAGGTAGGTGTGAGCTCACCTCCTGTCAGGTATTTCCCTTACCCCAGAAGGGAGAACAAAGAGTGGAACAAAGAACCCAGAAAGGGACACTAAACAGCACATTAGTCACCTTCCCCTGCCCCACTAATCCCCGCTGGCATTTCACTGAGTGGCTGTACCCTGCAGGTAGCACCTGAGTCAGTGAGAAACTATTCCAGTCCCAGGGCTGATTTTACTGGAGACCAGCCTGGCAGCTCCCAGCTTGCCTTCTTCAATCACAGCTTGGAAGACAGGAAAGCCTCTGGATACACAGCAACCCTTGTGTGTCCTAAATCTGACCTGCACAACCCAGTAACTCAGAGTTATTGAACTCAGAGTCCGACTCCAAAGGGAAAAGATACTCAAGACCCTTCTACTATTTTTTGCCCACTGTGCTGAGTTTTGCTCTAGTGAACAATATCCAGTCCAGATTCTCCACTTTGGGATTTGTATTTAAAACTCAAATTTACTTCCCTGCTTGCAACAGGACCCTTGTATAGACAGGGATAGATGTGTCTCCTTGGGTGGGTTTTCTTTAGTGCATAAGGCCTTTGTCTCTCTTCTCCCAGCTTGCAGATGCAGCAGTTACTCTCCAAGTGCCTGAATACACCCCCACGGGAGCTGTTCACTTCAATAAAAGAAGCTTTTCACATTTAAGAGTTTATTTGTGATTGCTCTAAAATATTATCTTCCTCCTAAACTTGCAGCTGCCCAGAAAAGGCAGCCGACAGAATGCAAATAAACTCTGGAAAGCTTTCCTGGAGCAGCACCCCGGGTTGGGTGACTGGGACAGCAACGCCTGCGGGCACAGCAAAGGTGCTGGAAGTGCTTCTCTGGGACGTGCAGCGTGGCAGGAATGGTGGAAGGTGCCAGCGGGCTGGAATGAGCCCTCGGGAGCCAGCGGCAAGGCAGGACAAGTCAGGACAATCCGCTGGAATCTGCTCTGAGGTGCTTTTCCTCTCCCTGAGATGGCACAAACCACCTTGGCCTCCACCGGGCTCACGGGTGGCCGTGAGGAGGGTGCTGCAGCCTGGGTGTGAGATGGTGAAGGTAGTGGTGCTGTGGCAGCCCTGGGTGGGGTGATGGCTTGGTGTGACCACGGGGCGAGCTGGACACCTGTCCCCACAAGGGCGGGTGCGGAGGGTCCCCACTGACACAGGCGGGCTCCCTCAGGGGTCCCTCACAGTCACAGTCACCCTCAGGGCTGCTTGCCCTCGGGAGGGGCCGTGGTTCTGCCCCAGGAGCCGGGGATTGGGGCTTGCGGCTGCAGGGCTGGGAACGGGGCTGGGGGTGAGGTTTTTGGGGTCGTCCCTTGTTAGGGCCCGCGGTGCGGTGGGTGCTGGAGGTCCCCTCACAGCCAAGATCCTGAACTTCCAAGTCACCCTCACGACGCCTCCTGTGGGGCTGCGGTGCTGCCCCTTCCAGCCACCCCAGGAGCCGGGAACTGCGGCTGGGGGGTGAGGTTTTGGACAGGGGAAGCCCCTTCCCAAACCCTTTAGTGGGACGGGTGCTGCGGGATTCCCCGGCCTCCTTCCGACCCCGGGTCGGCCCCTCACGGCCGAGCGCTGCCGAAGTGTCTCCGGGCCGAGCCGAGAGACTCCGAAGATCTCCGAGAAGCTCCGAAGAGCCCCGAGAGAGGCGGAGATCTTCCATCCGAGTGCGCCCGAAGCTTCCCGAACCGCACTACGCCCCGCCCTCCGGAAACAGCCGAAGTTTGCCGAGCGTAGGGGTCACGGGAGGTGCCGGGGCTGGTCGGGGGGGAGGGAAGGGGGAGCTCAGGGCGCGTGCGCCCGCGAAGCCCTTCCGGAAGGAGCCGAAGGCTTCCGAACGGCGGCGGGGCCGAGCGGCTCCGGAAAGAGCCGAAGCTCTCCGAGCGGCGGCGGGGCCGAGCGGCTCCGGAAAGAGCCGAAGGTCGCCGATCGGCGCTGGGCCGAGCGGCTCCGGAGCGGCCCGAAGGCGCCCGAGCGCCCGCCCGGCCGGACAGCTGGAGGCGGCCGCAGCGCCATGTTTGATGCTCCGCTACTCCAGTGAGGAAAATCCGCCGGCATCGCCCCCGAGCCGCCGCCGCGAACGGCTCCGCTGCCCCCGGCGAGGGCGACCGCGACCCCCCGCCGCCGCCGGCTCATGAGCAGCGCGGCCTGAGCCGCCCCCCCTTCCCTTCCCTCCCTCCCCTCCCTCCCTCCCTCCCCGCCGGCCCCTCTCCCGAGCCCTCCGGGAGGCGCGTTGTCACGGAGACCGGCGCCGGTGCCGGCCCGCCGCGCTGCCCCGGCTCTCCCCCGGCCCGCTCCGCGGCTCCCCCCGGCCCCGCTCCCCGCCGCGGGGTGGTGGCTGCGCTTGGCCATGAGTTTACCGCAGAAGGCGGCTTTGAAACCCGGCGCGGCGGCGGCGGCGGCGGGGACCGGCCCCGGGAGCGGGGCGGCGGCGGGGCCGCCTCCCCCCCCGGCTCCCCCTCACCCGGCGCCGGCGCCTCACCCCAACATCAGGGCCTTGCCGCCCCAGCCGCCCCAACAGTATCCTTTGCCCCGGGGGGGCTCGGGGGTGACACCCCCTCCCCACGGCGAGCGGGGCCGGGGGGGGGCGAGGGCTGCGGGGACCCCCCGGGCCTGCGGGGGTGGGGGGTGAGGGGGCGCGGGGACCCCCAGAGCGGGGGGAGCTGAGGGCGCCGGGGCCCCCCCAGAGCCGGGCGTGGGTAAGGAGGGGGTTTTTGAGGGTTTCCCGGCTCCTTTTTGTGTGTCTGTTTGTGGGGCCCCCCTGCAGAGGGGGGGCTGCACCTGCTGGGGTGGTGCGGGGCAAGGGGGGTGTCCCCCCCCGCTCTGCTAATGGGCTGTTTGGGGGCTCAGCCTTTCCAGGGGGACCCCCTTCCCCCCCTTCCCCGAAGCAGCGATGACCCCAAGGGTAAACTTTTAATTATAAACCGCTCCTCAGTTTTTCCTCCGGTCCTGCCCAGGTAAGTGCTTTGGTTTTGTTGTTTTTTTCGGGCGAATTTAAACCCAGTTTGTTGTGGCTTTTTTGTTGTTGTTTTTTTTTTTTTTTTTCCCCTCCTCCAGCCGGGGCCGATTTTCGTGTGATTTATTTTATTTTATTTAATTTTTCTTACTCGGCTGGTGGGGATAAATCTCAGGTGGAATGTCTTCAGCGAGCAGCTTTCCCTGCCAGGCCACGCGTGGAGGGGAGGAGGAGGAGGAGGCTCCCACTCCCCAAAATCCCCCCGCCAAAGCTGCTACAAAGAGAGGCCGGCGGGGGCTGCGAGTGTTTTTTAAAGGTCTTCGGTTCTGTGCTGCCAGTAGGCCCCGAGTCAGGAGGGAAATACTGCAGGGATCAGCAGGAAAGTGCTGCCGGCCTCAGGTTTTGTTTCCAGCGTCCGACAGCATCCCGTGGCAAAGTGGCTTTTCTCTTCCCCCCCTCCCTGGAGTTCTGGGGGGAGCACGAAGTGAAAACCACACTTTAGCGAGATACCTCCGTGCCGGGTTACCCGGGAGTGGTGCAGGGACGGCCGGGAGTGTGTTTTCCTATAAATGTTGGCGGCGAGTTGGGTTTTAAGGTGGCAGTGCCCGGGCGGGTTTCCTGCCCAGGGCTGTTGGAGCTGTGCGGTGCTGCCTGTGCTCTCCGAACTGTGTTCCCTGAGCGTGAGCATTTTCTTGCTCTCACTTTCATTTTGGAGGTGGGAAAACCGAGCGCTTTTATAACCAGTTTAGGTCCATTGTTTTCTTGAGCTTCCGGCCGGAGTCACCCCTGCCATGACAACAAATTCATTGCTTAAATCATGGGACCGTTGACGTTACGGATTTGTTTGGGTCGAATGAAAACCCCTGAACGTTCTCTGTGCTGGGTGATTTGTGGCTGGTCTGTGCTGTTCCATAATTCCAGCGGCTACTTTTGGCATAAAAGGAGTGGGAAGGTGCTGTCAGTACAGAGTCAGCGGGGTGGTGGTGGTGAGTAAAACTGTTGCTCGGGGAAAATTTACTCAGTTTTGAGGGATGTGCCAAGTGTCAGAGTGGGAACACTGTGCCCAGTTTGATCTTCCCAGCAAGGTGCTGGTTTGCCTGGGAAGGGGCTTTTTTATCGGGGAATGTGACGCTTGGGTGCCTTGACAGTTGAAGGGCTGAAGTGGCTCTGGGGTTGTGCTGGGCTTTCCAAAGCACTGTATTGTCCAGTAATGCTTGAAAGCACCGTGGAGGGACTGGAACAGGTCTCCAGTGTCGCTGAGTGGTGGTTCCAAGAGTGGCTGTGCCTTTGGAGCTGGGACAGGAGGACGCTGTTGCTTTTGGTGAGTGTTCTCATCAAACCCACGGGGGATGAAGTTTGGCTTTACCTCTGAGCACAGCCCTGAAAACAGTAGGGCTTGGAAAGACTGGAGAAGCTCCTGAAGGAGCTGGGGGTGGTGTGTCAGCCTGTCCCATGCAGGAACCCAACTGGACACCCAGAGCAGGAAGGACAGAGGGTGGGTATGACAACAAGTTGGTGTTATAAAAGTGAGTGATTTAAAATGACACAGTTCAATTTTTGTTTCTAGCCACGTCTGTTTTGAAAACATTGTGTTTGACCCATATCGCTCTAAACTCCCGATCTGTGCTTGGAATGTATACAAACACTTGATACCTTTTGTGTGAAGCTTATTCAGGTGTCCTGGCTGGTTTTATCCTCCACCAAAACCTGCTTCCAGGTATAAAGAAAAGCTGTCCCCTGCTCTCAGGCTGCTGCAGGAGTGAGGCTCGGGGAGCAGAGTTCATCTGTGATTTGCTGGAGTGCAGGGGGTCATCTGAGTTCAGCCTTATTTTTAGCTCTTTGGTTTCTTTTTTTTCTCTCTGTTTTGATACAACTGTTGAGCCAGTGTTACCTCACAGCACATAAAATAGAGCTGCAGGTTTCTCTGACTTGGGCTTTTTAAACCAAAACAGTTTCCGTGTGGTGAGCTCTGTGTCTTTGGAAACACGTGTGGTTTTAGACTTAGCATATAATGAAATTAAACAATATCTGTGTTACTGGAAAAAAAAAGAATTGCATGTGAGAGAAGTGTTTAACATGTACATGTAGAAAGGCATTAGGGAGGGAAAAGAAAAATACAATGGGAAGGGATTTTTTTTTTTTTTAATAGTATTTTCTTAAGAAAAGTGAAGCTGGAGGGTGATGGACATGAGAGCAGAAATGTTTGGATGGAAGATTCATTCTGTTTCCTGCTGAATAGGAAGTTATTGAAGCTGCTGTAAGACAAGACAGAGATTTGAGGAGTTTCCTTCACATACTGTCTTCAGGAAGTTAAGTTTTCTGGGTAAAAGTAAGTAGAGATAATTTTGTGACTCTGGTAGTGGTGAGTATTCAGCCAAACCTGGTTTCAGGCATAAATTGTTCTCAAAATTGTCAGTATGGATAAATCCTTCATGTGGATTCTGGCCCTTATTTGGGGAGGATGGACAGGGGAGGGTGAAATGACACACAGAGGGATATTACAAAATATAAACCCCAATCTGCCCTCCTTGGCTTTGGCTTCCAGACTGTCTCTGAGGGAGGGGTTCAGATGAAGTCTGGAGTGAGACTTTTTCTGTAAAAATGTCCGATGATGAAGGTACCTCTGGGCTGCAGGTGCACTGTGAGCCTTCGTGGTGTTACCTGGATGGTACTTCTGCCACGAGGTAAACTGCACTGTGTTCTTTACTCTGCACTTCAGTGTAATTTTTGTGTGTGTGTCACATTAAGCTGCTCCTTAAACCCCCCCTGTGCTGTGAATAAATCCTGTGGATCAATATAATCAGGTCACCAGTTTCTTCCCAGCAAACACTGCCCTGGAAAGCACAAGGAGATGGGTTGATGGGACCTCAGGTGAGGGCTGCTGGCACGGCAGGTTAATGTGACTCTGCTCAGTCTGAGCCAAATCAGAGCCATCCTCAGCTCTGGGCTGGGGTCAGTAGGGTTTTGGTTTAGGGTTTTGTTTTCTTTTCCCAACCTCCTCACATTTGGAGGCAGTTCAGCTTCCTGGTTGTTGCTGGTCTCTGTGCAGGTACCAGTAAGCTTGACCTCACTCTGTCCCCGTGGCTGTTTCCGTGTGGGATCAGGCACCTCTGAAATACTGGGTGTTTCCCAGGTTATTGTGGGTCATGGCAGGCTCAGGGTGGCTTTCAATAGACCATTATTAATTTTTTTTCTCTTCTTCCCCCTTGTTAATTCTGTTTCTGAGAAGCAGAGAGGAAGGGTCAGTGTGTGTGGGGAATTCTGTGTGAATTCCATCATTGCTGTGCATGGAAACGTGTTTTTTGTTAATGTTGCCTCAGCAATTTAGTTTTAGTTTTTCCTGCATTGCTCCATCTGACTGTGCTGTAGTCCCTTTCAGAAAGGGGTGTGCTGCTTCCTGCTCTGTTGGACAGCAGCTTCTGAATGTGAGTGGCTTCCCAAAAGCCCAGGAGAACAGCAAGAAATCCAGGATGGTGTTCAGGAATGTGTGAGGCTGTGTGAGAAGTCAGGGTGAGTTCCTGGCAACACTTCCCTGGTGGTGGGGGTGGAGGCTGGGCTGGAGTCAGCCTGTGCTGGAGATGTGGTTAAATCAAGTCTGTTCAGGAGGATTTGGGTGTGTGGGGTTCTCTGTCCTCTCTCAGAGTTGAGCTGAAGGGGAAAGTGCCCATGAATTTCTCAAGGAAATTCTCTCAAGGAGAGCATCTGCAGGGTCAGGGTCTCTGGGTTGCTATGATCCTCTCTGGAAGTTTGGAGCTAACACCATCCTCCCTCCCTGCTCACTTCCATTCCAAGTGGTGTTTTCCAAGTCCATGTGCTCCCAGGGGTTTATCTGTTGATGACTTTGAAGATGGGGACGAGGGATTCGGGAGTTGCTTGGGCACAAGAGTCAGCTTGAAGAGCGTGATTGTGGCTCCAGACTCCCAGGCAGCTTTGACATTGGACTGGAGCACAGTTGGGAGTCCTCTTCCAGATTCCAGTGGCAGCTGGATGTGAGGAAGGTGTCGGGAGCATTAAGATCCTGAAAGGGAAGGAGGGGAAGGAGCGGGCTGAGATCAGAGGTGTCCCTTGCTCTGTGTGTGTTTGAGTTCAGGAGGGAGCATTCTGAGCCTGATGAAGGGGAAGAAGGGGCAGAGGTGTTGCCTGGGAGGTGTTTCCATTTAGGAGTGCTGGAGCTGTGGAGATCAAACACCTTGGGACAGTTGGAGCAGCAGGAGAGGAGCTTGGAAAAGAGACTTTCCCTGCTGCTCTGTGGTAGCGGCTCATCTGCAGGTGAAGAACAGGCGCAGGATTGGGAGCGTATTGCCAAAAAATTAAGTGCTTTTAGCCCTCCCTGCCACCTCCCCTGTTGATGTTCCCCAGCCTTGGCAGATCTGAGAGTTCTTTCAAGCAGAAATAGCTTTAATTTATTTAATGACAAAAGCTAATCATGTTAGAGTGCAGATATGTCACTTTACCAGCTTTGTAAGGTTTTTGTGGTGAAATCTCTTGGAGAAAACCGTTCCAAAAATGTGATTTCAAATGGCTTATTTTCTCCTCACATCCAAGGACATGGCTGTGTGTATTC